CACAAGAAAAAGTGATCTACAAGTTGGAGATTATGTACTGGTTAGACAAGAAAAGAAAAACAAGCTAACTTCGAATTTTAATCACAAACCGTATAAAGTGATAAAGAAAACTGGTTCAGAAATACTTGCCCAAAGTAAAGATGGTCATATTGTGAAACGGAACGTGTCACATTTCAAGCGAATAAATAAACCACGAGAAGAAGACACTGATGATGAAAGTTTCGATTATGAAGAAAACTCGCAGAACAATCAGCCATCCATCAGTAATGAAAACAACGAAGTACCAAGAAGATCAAGCCGAATTCGAAGACCACCGAATCGATACGGACATGAATATCCATCAAATCTAATAAACTAACATAACAATGAAACAGCTAAATAACTTCAAATTTAATTAAACATTTTGATATTTGACAATCAAGTTAAAACAAAGGGAATGGTATAGTAATGTACGTCTATTAATAATTAACGCACGTATTACGATTAGTTTATATTTAGAATATGGACATTATATATTCAGTTGTTTACATGTAGCCGAGATATCAAGAAGTCTATTAAATAAGAGAATATTATAACCTAATCGAGTCATTGTTTGTTGAAATCACAGTTCCCAATGAGAAAAATGTCATAATAGGAACAGTATATCGACCGCCAAACCATAACTTGGTGTTATTTTTAGAAAAATTCAATCAAATTCTATTTAACATCTCTAAATCCAACAAGGAATGTTATATAATGGGCGATTACAACATAGATATGTTCCACTTGAATGAACATTCTTCTACACAAGAACGTGTTGATAGCCTTTTCTCCCACATGTTCTATCCACTTGTAAATAGACCAACTCGCATCACTGCGCACTCGGCAACACTTATTGACAACATTTTTACGAATAATTTATCGCCTCAATTATTTAGCGGCATTATTTTAAACGATCTTTCTGATCATTTACCAGTATTTGTTTATCCTTCCACAGAGTCTTCTCCTGTACATGAAAATCGAAATAACCATACAGTTACACGTGATTATAGCGAATACAATATAGCTACATTTCGCACCCACCAATGTAGATTGGTCAGATTATTCTGACAACGATCCGAATATTATGTACAGTAATTTATTAAATGAATTTCTAAGAATATATGACCTCAGTTTTCCTGTAATGGTTGTAAAAAGAAATAAAAATAGACCGCTAACGCCATGGATGAAAAAAGAGCTTTTAGTGTCTACTAGGAAAAAGAATAAACTATACAAACAATTCATGCCAAAAAGAAATCCCGCACGAGAATCTCGGTAATTCAAAAATAAGCTTACCCACTTGTCTGATCAAGGGCGCAAAAAAAAGCATATTGTGAGAAAAGATTTGATGCAGTCAAGAATAATCAAAAGGCAACCTGGAAGCTAATTAATAAAGTTATTAATAAACGAGCGCGATCCACTTCACTGTCATCATCATTTAAAAAAGGGTCCTGCACGCTAACCGATCCAAAAGATATAGCATACTTGTTTTGTAATTTTTTTGGTAACATTGGACCAGAGCTCGCAAGTAAAATCCCACACCATAATGTTTCTTTTCGTTCCTTTTTAGATTTAAGCTATAGTGAATCAATGTTTCTATGCCCTACAAATAAGAACGAATTACAAGATATTTGTTATTCATTTAAAACAGGAAAAGCGCCTGGTTTTGACAATGTATCGATGTATGTAATTAAAAATATTTCGATCTTCTTGTTCAACCCCTTGCTAATATTATAAATTTGTCTTTATGCATGGGAATCTTTCCAGAAAAACTAAAAATTGCTAAACTTATTCCAATTTTCAATCAGGAGAACAAAATTCTTTCACAAACTATAGACTATATCACTCTTAAGCAACTTTTCAAAATTCTTCGAAAAAGTCATGCATAATAAATTAACTTCATATATTGAACGACATGAAATTTTATATAGTCTCCAATTTGGATTTCGAAGAAAGCACTCAACTTGTCACTCGTTAATTTCTCTAACCAATAATATTGCATCGGATATTGATCGGGGCCATTTAGCTGCTGGTGTTTTTATTGACCTTTCTAAAGCTTTTGATACTTTAGATCATCAAATTTTATTTTTTCAAAATTAGAGCACTAGGGTGTTCAAGGTGTCGCCTTGCAATGGATCAAAAGTTACTTATCAAACCGTAAACAGTTTGTTCAAATTAAAGTTCTTGCTCTGAGTTTTATGAAATAACATGCGGAGTTCCCCAGAGATCCATTTTGGAACCACTTCTTTTTATTTTGTATGTAAACGATCTCCGAAAATCCTTAAACCAAGCTACTTCGTCTTTGTTTGCAGATGATACTAGTATATATTATTCACATTCTGATATCAAGCAACTTGAGGCAACCCTAAACAGTGAGCTTCAAAACCTTGATATCTGGATGAAATCAAACAAATTATCCGTAAATATAAGCAAATCAAATTATTTAATTTTTCATCCTAGTCAAAAAACACTAAGTCTTAATTTAATTCTCAAATATGATAACCAAATTCTTGTTCAAAAACGGCATATAAAATTCTTAGGTGTATATTTAGATGAAAATTTGTCATGGAAAATCCACATAAATTATATTAGTAAGAAAATATCAAAATCTGTTGGAATAATTTATCGCTCGCGATTTCTCTTATCATTGGTTACAAAACTTTCCTTATATTATAGTTTAATATACCCTTATCTAACATTGTAATATTGTAATTTTTACAAAAGCGAGCTGTTAGAGCAATGACTAACTCAGATTACCGTGCTCATTCTGCTCCGCTTATCAAAAAATTAAATATATTAGATATCTTCAAACTAAATACTCATTGTATAGGTATATTTATGTATATTTATAGCCGTGATTTATTACCTGAATATTTTGACAACTTATTTATTTCGAACAATCAAGTTCACGATCATAATACTAGAGCTGCGGCCAAATATAGGTCTCATGCATGTCGAACTAACATAAAACAATTCACTATCCTACATCAGGATCCGAAAATATGAAATTGTCTTCCTTCATCAACAACAAGAATAAATATCACTTCTTCTTTCAAAAGAAAATTGAAAAAATATTTGATTGAAAACAATTAGTGCATGTACAATTGAATAGGAGCTTCATTTATAAACAACAAAACAAAAGAAATAATTGGGGGTTTTTTTGGAAAATAAAATCCCTCAACTTTGTTCTGAATAACATTGAGATGGCCTCTTAATACAAGTCTTTGACTTCCTGATGTCTACTCGCCACTTTCAATTTGACATACATAAATATAAATATATACCTAAATATTATTACAATAATCAATGTAAATAACTGAAAGAAGTGGTAAATAAAATTAAATTGAAATGAATATACACTCACAGAGTAACATCACAAGCATCATATTCGCCTGAGTACATTACACCAACACAGAAAAAATCATGACTGCTGTTCTGTTTATTAAATTTTTTTCCACGACAAAATATTATTGCATGAAACTGATATGCTGAATTACATCATTTTATTCAAAGACTATATGTATCGATTATACTTCTAATTTCCATGTTTGTCATAATTTGTTACTGAAGAATGACTTTCAATATTTGACCTATTTGATATTATATTTACTTGGCATAAACAGTTGATTAATGTGGTATTTAACCTGATTATTGCATATCAATTATGGTATAAAAAGGCTTTCAAAACTGCGCAAGTGTGTATTGCCAACATCTGTGTATCTACAATGTTCTTGCATGCCTGCTAGAGTTTATTATAAATTATCAAGAAGATGTTAAAGCCGACATTGTATTGATTGAACTCCTTGACATCAATACAATCACCACATATGAACAGATACATGCACGCTTAGCGTACCTATTTTTTACATCGAAATCAATTGAAAAATTACCTTTTTGTGCTAAAAGTCACAGAGCAAATATATACGGGATGTATATAAACTAATCATTTTTATGGATTTTATGCGGCCAAGCTAAGAAATGGTATGGACATTCGCAAGAAGGCTACTGACAGAGGTTTAGAGGATGATTACATAGGGTTAGGTTAGGGTTATGTCAGGGTTAGGTTAGGGTTACGGTTAGGGTTGCACTTGGAGTTAGGTTAGGGTTAGTGTTAACTTAGGGTTAGGGTTGCGCTAAGGTTTGGTGTTAGTTAAGGATAGTGAAGATGAGATTTCGCGTCGAAACACGGTTATCCAAGCATAATTATTTCTCGTCCTTGATTGAATTTGTAAAATTCCGAAGAGGAAATTGAAGAAAAAGCACGCTTTATCACAATTTGTCATTTTTGGAGTAAAATAATTAATATAGAATGGCATCGTGGGCGTAGAATAATTTGCTATTGTATCGCTCCTTTTGTTTAATATATCATGCATTCTGATTGCTCAAGCACACAAAATTTATACAAACGGGCTGATTTTCTAACATTATTTACTTTTGTTATAATGCTACAATACTTTGCATTAAAGTGTGCTATAAATAGGCACTATATTTTTAATACCAACGAAAGGATCGTATCAATTTTAACAAAATTGTCATTTATCATCACATTATTTTATACATTTATCACCACATTTACATTTTAATCATTACATTCACAATTACATATTTACATTTATCATCAGATTAACCGCATTTGCATCACTACTAGCGGTAAAGAAAAACATACATTTTTCATCAAATGTTTGGAACCATTTTTTTATATTGTATAACAAACCATATAACACCTACTAACCAAAGGATGACCATGCCAAAGCAGTAAAAGAGCAAACTCATTTTGGTAAATACAAAACTGACCCCAATGCGACTTATTACAATAGCCGAATGCAAAGTCGCGTAGGATAAACCTTGGATAAATGTCGCATTCTGTGGGTCAGTAATTTTTGAAAGAATAGAATTTGCAAATGGATATGCAAAATATGGCATACCCAGACAAACGTATATAAGCAAAAAATAGTATTGAACACTTGTTACTTGATCCCACAAGAAAGCCAAAGACGTGAGAAATGAGATGGCAATGACTTGCATGAATAAGGCAAAGACAAAGAGCCTCCGTTCTTCGACATATTCTGAAGCGAGATGGAGACAGATAAACACCAGCATTGTAAATAAGGTACAATTCAGGAAAACCAACTTGATGTGAAAAAGTTGTAGATGAAAATGATCCAATGCTAATATTGGGACGTAAAAAGTGGACGTGCTTGAAAATGCCTCGCTGCAGAATATTAGAAAAAATAGGCAAAATATTCTCGGGTCGAATGACATACTACTCTGCTTCTCCTCGTAACTATACTCAGTCAGATGTCGCTCCTCATTACACTCACTCAATGTCTTGTTGTTTTTGTCGTCACTAGCAGAAATTGAATCTAGTTCCATATGGCGAGTACTGGTTTCCATCCAAATGTCTTTGGGTAAGAACAGCGTAGAAACAAGGAAAAGAAGCCATATTATTGACAATATAATCCCGGGTGAATTGCCCTCATTTATTTCCCAACCAAGTATATTGGCCCGAAATGTAATAAAACTTCCAATTCCCGGACCAAATGCAGAGCCAAGACAATATACACCTTCTAAAAATACAAAGCTCTTTCCACGACTTTCTTCGTCTGTCTGTAATGCAATTTGTCCCAGGAGGATCGCTGTTCCCCCACTACCTAAACCTGTTACTAACCTTCCAAAAAGTGGAAAATATGCACTCAGATTAATACTGTACACGACATAAGCGACGATTTTCATTGCACAACAGCAAATGAAGATACTCCTGGGATTTCCTAGTCGATCAGTCATGAATCCAAACAAAGGTCCACCAATAATGGCGCCAGCGTCGTATGCAGACACCACTAAGGCCAGAAAGAACGTGGTTTGGTCCAGGGATTTGATATAAAGCCATGCAGTTGGTACAATACAATACGTTTCAAAACCACCCAAAAAGAAACGAAGTGCAACGAGTTTCGTAATCCAGCCATTTTTGTCCATTGCAATTGAAATGCAGTTATTCACTGATCTATAAAGCAAAAGATGTTGGAATTATGTCATTTGCGCTGCATGCGACAAAAATGTAAACATTGTAAAGCATGTAGTATTTATCGAAACCTTACGGAGTCGATGCTTTCTAGGGGGCAGTTGAAAGTTTTGCCCGAATTTTTATGGAGGATTGTAATGAAATGACTTGAATTTAACCTATTTTCTGATAAATCTGCCCGAATTTTCTTGATTTTTTCTAGTATTTACCCGAATTTCCATGGTTTTCCACAATTTGGAGGCCCCAAATTTGCCCCCTGTCTCGTACGCCTATGATTGAAACAATATTTTTTCACAGACCAATTAATATAATGCAAAATTGGATATCCGGTTATTCCGTTTCTCCAGTGTCATGCCCAGCACCTAACCTGCAACCGGGCATACTCTAGTTACGAGATTGGTCTGGTAGTAAATGTTGCGTCAGATTTACTGGTCAGCTAATCAATGAAAACGCGCGAAAGCTCTTTTTCAAGCAAAATTTATGGGGCTGTTGGGGCTGCAGCCCCCCAATTTTTTGAGAATTTATCTATATTCGGGCAAAAATTGTCTTGTCATTCGGGCAATGACGGTCTGGTGGTTAGACGAATATATTGATCCATAAAGCGGAACAGAAGTATTATTTCAACAAGTTCTACTTTTACAGGTTCAATCATGCACTGTAAATCTGTAATGGCAACGTTTGTGTATATTTATTACTAACATACATCGCATAGCTGGATTCAAGCATGTTGCGTCAGGTTAACCTTTATTAAAGGTCAAGTGCTCTAAAATCGGATTTGGTTTTGATTTTTGCGCACATACTACAGACGTAAATCCCCACAGAAACGGCTAGAATGAAGGAACAATTGCTATGGGCCTATGGCTACTAATAAATGTCACTACTGTATTCATGCCTATATTCAGCAGTTTTACCTAGCATAATGTAGGCTATACAACTATTAAACTAAATAAATATATAGTATATAGCTGCACATATTGCGAAGGTGTGGTATAAGTGTGGGCAGTGACAATCGGATCAGTATTAATGTTTATCCTTTGGCTCTGGCCCTGGGCGGCACCGCGGCTATGACGGTGGCCGGACATTTTGCCGAAAGACACTTTGCCGAAAGACATTTTGCCGAAAGACATTTTGCCGAACGGACATTTTGCCGACGGACGTTTTGCCGAACGGACGTTTTGCCGAACGGACATTTTGCCGAATCGACATTTTGCCGAACGGACAATTTGACGATACTATACATTATACAATGACCTAATGTGACTAATTTTAGACTTTTAGATAGACATAAAAGTGCGCGATTTTTTTACAATCATTAAAAAATTGTTGATTTTACGACGTTCGGTGCGAGGAATGCAATAAGGAAATCGACAGTGATTATAAAGAGGTGCATTCTCGATTGGTTCACATTTCACAATGGTAAAAAAAGTAAAATGTCATCCAGTGATGGAATCATCGGATTCATCCCAGTTGAAAATCAATATTTTCTTTGTAAAAAGTAACATGACAACCAAGGACAATGACCTGCTGTCACCTGTAGTATGACCTAACCCTACTTAGAACTCTCCAGCTATTCAACAATTGCACTGCCACTCAAGGGGAGCTCAGATTGAACCTCTACTCTTTGAGTGTGAGTCAGCTTTTAGAAAACAGGCGTAGATCACAGATTTCTCGCTTCATGTAAAACCTTTTTAGTTCAGGTAGTAAAAACTACCTTAGGGTTTTCCCGCAGAAATAAAGACCATGTTACGCGGTGCAATTAATTTTTCTTGCAACTTGCAATGCAGTTCTACTCTTGAGAGATGCTAATTAGTGAAATCAGTGAAGAATTTTCAATATGTTGAGAAAACATCAGCGGAGTGTAATGAAGACTCGCATTTGGCAATTTTACATCTCTCAAGAGTAGAATTGCATTGCAAGTTGCAAGAAAAATTGCACCGTGTAACGTGTATGTATATAAGCAACCTCGTTCCCAGGGTGATTCCTCTTGACCAGGGGGGAAAAGACGCTGGTCACGTGATCTTCTAAAATCTAGCAGATTTTTAATTAGCAATCCAAGATGAGGTCAATAAATATTTGATATTTGGATGATATTTGTAGTTTAATTTATAATTTCCATGTTGGATGATTGTCGTATAGGAATCTAGGATAATTAATTAGAAATCTGCTAGATTTTAGCAGATCATGGGACCAGCGTCTATCAGGGTCTTTTCTTCCCCAGAAGAGTGACCCTTTGTATCAGGGGCAGGTTGTATAAAACTCTTAATCACTTTTTTAATCACTATTTTGTAGTTAAATAGTGATTAACTCTCAAATAGGCGCTTCTTATTGGATGACATTTCCACTTAACTATGAATAACTTTAATAACTTTTTTATACAACGGCCCCAGGTATTTATGTAATTCACTGTATATACACTACATTCACGTCGTATATAAACTCAGTAAATCCCATGGCAAAACATGGCCTGAAAATTATGCAAAAGATCTTTTATAGTTAAATCGTCATATCAGTTAATATAGCTCGAGTTATGTGTTCTCCATCAATTATTACGGATATTGAAGCAATGCTACGTCACATTTTTCATTTATCGATGTGAGCTGGGTTGAACGACCTTTTGAATAAGTAGGATCGTAGTACTGGAACCAGGAACTGTTGAGTCACTGTTCACCACGTTGTTCGATCGTTTTAGAACTCAAACATTTTTATTTATTCAAACCCTTAATGCTGGTTAGGGGAGGCATTTTTAAAACATTTAAAATCACCAAAACGATCGAACGAAACACTAGTCAATTAAATGGTTCTCGCAGTGGGGACATTTTATATTGGCAGCGTTCGCTTATTCCTAACAGCTAGCTATTCGCGTTTTGCTTTAAGGCCGATTTAAACTACACAACTACACAATTTTTGCCTAAAACTGTCGCATGCAACCTGCTTACAACGAGATATATAATCGAATTGTCGCGGGGGTTTTTGCGCAGGTCCTTTCCCTGTTAACGTTCTTTCCCGGGGGGGGGGGAGGGATCTTTGCACGAAACATCGGCTGTTCTCTTCAAAATAACTTCGCACTAAAATTCATTTTTTAGCAATATACAGCGGCTTTTCGAAACCGATTTTGACTTGGCCAAATGAAAAACACAAAAGTTTTCAAAACCTCTGCCGATACCTCTACTGATAACTCTCTTAACTTAATTTGATATCGTTTTGGTCTTTTATGAAAGACTATTAAAATAGCCCATCGACATTAAACTCAACTAATAAATTAATACAGATACGACAACGTACCGTTTACGATAACTACCGCATAAAATATGCACTTCCGAGGCCTGTTGTTTAAACTCGCTAGCACTATTAAGCCTGACTTGAATGCTCAGCCCGTGTTTAGGATTATGTGTATTTGTGAATGGCTGTTCAACTTTATTTAAAAACGACTTGTTGAAAAGTTTGATTGAAGAATTTTTCTTATTCAAAGGTTAATTAGGGCTAACTCATGGCTCATAAACAACAGGCCCCTATTGGCAATTGCAACCCTGACCCCTGGAAGTAGGTGGGAGATTTTAAGTGTAAGCATCTCCGCCTTAGAACAATGTATTTCATTAGCAATCCCGAAGTGGATGAGAGAACTGGGGACAAGTGTTAAAAAGTGCCCGAAACGCTAAAACGACCACCTCAAAATTAGCAAGTATACAAAATTTAAAGACGTTCACATGAATACCCTTCGAATAATAAGCTTTCGAAAAACGCGATATTTTGACTATGAAATGAACTGTAATTTTTGTTTTGGGGGACGCAGGTCCCAAAAACAGACTTTTAATCAGCAATTTCACAATTTTCGAAAGTTTATTATTCGAAGGGTATTCATGTAAACGTCTTCAAACTTTGTATACTTACTAATTTTGAGGTGATTTTTTAGTGATTTGATTCGTTTCTTAATTTGGGAACATTTTAATACTCGTACCCAGTCCACTCATCAACATCGGAATGGCTAATTCGTTAAATTAACTGGCTGGTTAAACAGTCATGTGTTGTTCATTAAGTGAAAGTCGCTATGCAAAATTTAAATCCCTGCGAATTCATAGCATAATGACAATGTTTTTTAAACTTTTCATGTACCCTACAAATTCCGGTTGATACCCTGCACACACACAGAGTTGAAAGGGTAGGTTTTCAATTGACTAGCACAATACGGCACAATACGATAATACTATATTCAGCCACGGTAAACTTTCAGTATATACAACTATTTTAAAATAGGACAACATTAACTGGTTTACAAGTTTGCCGTGTTGTATATATGACAGCATTTGCAATGTACAGACCTGATGCAATGCACAGACAACTGGTAATGGCAGCTTGCAATGCAAATTGTTACTAAACCAATTTAATTCTGTGTAACCTCATAAGCATTGTAAGTTGTCTTTGGAAGTTGCTTTGTAACATATGAAGTGAGAAAACATTCAAACATTCGAGTTATTAATTCCCGAGCCCGGGTATGGGTATCATGCATTCTAAATGATGTTTGAATAGATTGAGATCAAGTTCAGAAGTCTCTATTAAAAATATGAATAATAATAATAATACTAAGATACTGTACTCTTGAGTCATTCCATTCAACTCCAGATTTTCGTTCATCGACTCAACGGAAACGAGTTAACATCCCCAAATAACTCGACCTAGACTTAATTTAGTGTGGCCATCATAGGCGTACGAGACAGGGGGCAGTGGGGGGGAAAATGCCCCTCCCCCCCAATTTTGTAAATCAATGGAAATTCGGGTGCATGCTAGAAAAAATCAAGAAAATTCGGGCAGATTTATCAGAAAATAGGTTAAATTCAGGTAATTTCATTACAGTCCTCCATAAAAACTCCGACAAACTTTCAACTGCCCCCCCCCTCCCCCGCCAGAAAAGCATCAATCCCGTACGCTGAGAGTTGTTGTTGATCCAACTCGACTACGTTGCATTTGAAGCTATGTGAAGATGTAGAG